TAATATAATATTATTTCTTTTTAAATTATTATTATTATTATTATTATTATTTGAAACATGGGGTCGTTTTTCCCTCCCCAGAAATGAGGAAGAGAAGCCTCTATTTGAGGTCACCCTAAAAATAGGACCAAGTTTAGGGGAACTGTTGGAGACAGGTTTTGAGAGAAAATCCATATTTTTGAGATAAAAAAGAGAAATAGGGAGGCTCTTGGAGATGCTCTAAGCCGCATAATAATTATTTTATGCATAATGCTTAATTTTCATGATAATTATATATATGCATAGACACTAATATGTATTATATCATTTAATTCAATGACTAATATGTATTGTATCGTTTAAATTGATAATTGATTATCATGAATGATTTAGTAAATCAAAAAGACAAATATGCTAATTATAAATTTATTTCCAAAAATCAAGTCATAGAAAATACTCATTATATATTAAACTGATAAATAATTATCATTAATGATTTATTAAATCAAAAGGGCAAACATACTAATTATATATTTATTTTCCAAAAATATTGTTGATACTATTTCCAAAAGAAGCATTTACTGCTATCATTAGTAACATCAATTTCATCAACTCCCTCTTTATATATATATAGATAGATATAGATATAGATATAGATATAGATGTCACTAAAATCCGCAGGATCGGGTTACCCCGGGTTACCCGCATTTTCGTGCGGGTAAACCCGATATGATTGGGTTTCGGGTCGGGTTCAAGTAGAATTATGCTACCCGGGGTCGGGTTTGGGTATGGTAGAAATAATTCGTTACCCGATCCGATTACCCTACCCATTTACCCGCAAACGTTGAATTATATATAAATATAGAATTATATATCTTATTATAAATCTAAAACTAATTTATTTATTATAATTTTGGTTCATGGTATACGTTTTATTTTTTTCTTTATCAATTTTTCTTTTAGTACAATATAAAAAATAAATAACTATATCTCAATATTTGCTCTAAAAATAATATAGAATTTTTTATAGTTATTTTATTATCAAATTTGTTAATAAATTGTTAGTTACATTATACTTAGTAGTGAAATTATTTTATTTATTTTTTTACACATGAAACGGGTCGGTTGGGACCAGGTAAATCCAATTTTAAGAATTCGGGTTACCCGTTTACCCGACAAAGAACGTTAACCCGTTGGGTAAAACCCAACTCGTTACCCAGTTAGTACATGGAAAATACCCCTTTATCAAAAGAAATCAAAGGTTGTGATATTCTCCGCCAAGGTGCAAAAGTCGTGATGTTTTAGCAATTTAGTAAAAGGTTGTGATATAACGAGCTATTTTGCCAATTGTTTAATATGTTTATGGCCATCTACTTATATATTAAATATTAATGCTCGAGTCGAGCTCGAATTTGATAGAGTTTGAGTCATGACTGACCCTCGAAAAGCTCGAGCTTGACCGCGTTTGAGTCAAGATTTGGCCTTCTCAAATTTGAACTCCACCTCGAGCCTATAGTTTGTAAGCTTGAGTGCTCCACGAGCCGTTCAAATATACGTAAACTTACCTTACGATCCCAAACTAAACCTTTTCTTACTAATATTTTGAGGCGCAAATTTTTAACTACTTCTCGAGCGCTTGCATATTATTACCGAGGCTAGTCGAGCTTAACAATATTAAACTCGTCGAAGTCGAGCAACAATGCAAAATTAAACCTACTTGCATATGTACCCGTTTATGACATGGGTTGTACATTAACTTTTCAAGTAATAAATAATGGAAGTCATAAGAAAAATAAAAAGAAATAAATAAAAATGGAAGTCATAAGGTTGCTTAGGTCAATCAATGGATTAGGTTGCCAAATTGTGTACAGCGCATATATAATTGAGCTTCAAGTTCAACTGCTATAAATGTTTCACAAATATATTATATCCCCACATTCAATTTGGTAGAATTATTAATTCTTTTTTTCACAAAAAAAATAAATAAATAAATAAATAAGAGAAGAGAAGAAGTCACAAGAAGCATCTGCTCCCAAATTTCCAAAGACTTTGAATTATTGCTTGTTGAGTCGTTATTAACTTATTATTGTTACATGGAGATGCTACGGTCCCATTACGAAACCATTCTGTCATGATATGTAATCGTTAAATCAAATATCTCCGACGATTACATGATGGTCTAACGGTTACAAATCTCGACGAAATGATTCCGTAACGAGACCGTAGCATTTTCCATTGTTATATATCCGTAATATTAACTCATGGTGTGCGTGTGAGATACTTTTCTATCGTGAAAAATAGATGGCATTTAATCAATACAGTAATGTTCCCCTACCCACGGTGGGCACATGTTAATATGTCTACCGTTTATGTGGCATGCATACATTGGTGATGTATGTCAATGTGTGCATGTCACATAAACGGTGTGCATATTAACATGTGCCCACCGTGGGTATGGGAGCATTGCTGCTAATCCATAATCTTTAATTACTACAATAAACCTATTGTTTCCCTTTGTTATAATCTTTAATTACTACAATAAACCTATTGTTTTCCTTTATTAAGAAATATTAACAAAATTGCTCTGAATATTTCTTTTTATAATGTTTATAACATACTTATAGCATATTTAGTAACACGTTTCAAATAGAACTTTTTATGCAAAAGTACATTTCAACAACTAATTTATGTTTGATGATAAATTAAGAATGAAATTATGGATAAACTAATTCCCAAAAACTCCATTCAAATTATTGAGACTTTTGAAGAGGCCTATTTTGCAAAAAAATGATTTAAAAACATTAGTTTTACAAAATTGCTTCCTCTCTTGGGTTGGATTTGAATTTTTTTGGGTGAAGTGAATTAAAATTGAAAAATTGTGATCAAGTGGAATTTTAGATTGAATTTTGAATTTGTGTATGAAGATGAGGTATAAAATAATGATTGAATGTGATCTGATGTAGAAGTTCATAATATGAGTCGATAAATTGATGATTAGTTAACAATATATGAGTCGATAAATTGAAAATTGTGTGATATAGATTGACTAATATTAGTTAAATGCATAATATTGAGGATAATTAAATTGCGTTATATTAGTTGACTTTTTAAATTAAAAATTGGAATACAAAATTGTTTGGTAGATTTGATTGGCTAAATCCGGTTGGATTTATGTCAAATTGCACTATTGTTTGACAAATTAAATGACTCATTTTTTTAGAAAATAACTTTCTTACCTAAAAATATTTATTTTTTTTAGTAAGTTTATAAACACGATATGACCTCTATTAGAAAAAATCACCATACCAATACGGGTAAGAACTCAATCATCAGATCATAAAATACATACATACTTGAGACTAACCCTTGGCTGTCTGAGCACACTATCAAAGAA